TAATGAGTTAAAAAAGTATTGTTAAATTTTTGAAGAAGGGATTATTATTAAAAAAATTCCTGTCCATCCTCCATTCATCACAAAAGCTTGGTTCTTGCCAAGATCGATAGAGAAATGTGTGGAGAATATTTATTACGAGATAATATGCAAGAATTTTTGTTCTTTCCTTCCTGGTGTTGACTAATTAGTACTAATAAAAGTTAATTTAGCCTACTCTGCTAGCATAAAGTTTTATTTGTAAATAGTAACGCAACGAAAGCATTCAAGCAATACCTCATCTGACAGAGAATTTCACGCGGCTACAATATGGACTACCTCAAACATTTTAGAATTCGTTTTTGGTTGCTCGGTAAGTCTGGTAAGTCGAAAATTTAACAACATTGTTTAAGTAATTAATTTTTTTCTCAGCCAAATAAAGTCAGTAAGCCGAAAAAACTTCCGAACATACACTTCGAAGTGTTCTGTACAAACCGGGAGGGCTTGAAGAAAAAATTCAAAACTTGAAAATATCGCTGATTTTTGGCTCACTGAAGATTTTTTTACCTAACCTTAAGGCTAGTTTCGCCCGAACCAAGCATTTTGGAGCAAAACTCTGAGTGCAAAAGTTGTTCAGAATGGAATTTTGGAGTCCCTGACGAGAGCCTTTTTTAAAATTTTAAAATTTCGTATTTTTTAATTTAAAAGTCAAAAACAAAAAATGTTAAAAAAAGCTCTCGTCAGGGACTCCAAAATTGTGTCCCCTACAAACTGGAAACGTTAGAGAAACATCTAAATGGGGGACCCCCCTTAAGATGTGACAGTCGGAGATGTTAGATATATGAGCTTGTAGCCCGTGAAAAGCTCTACAAAACTGCACATAAGAAATATTTTTCATAGACTGCTTCGACTGACACTGGGGTAACATTGATCAGCCATTAATCATGATTTGTGCTGATAGCGCTCCACCAGTATATTGACTCTAGTTCGTCTAAAACTTAATGAAAACATGATGAAGATCGTAAGTCATTCGTGATTTAACGTCGTTACAATCGGATCTCAACATTGCGAACCAATCTTATCCTAACCCTAAAATGCCGTCCCACGGCGGCATAGCACTTTTCCTATAGTCTGCAGATTTCTGATTAAAATGAGACCTCTCCGAGCTCTACACGATCTTTCTTTGCAAAGTTATAGAGTTTGCAAGAAAAGCCCTAAATGTTCATTGTCAGCTCAAAGCTACAGAAATAAGAAGAAATTAATTTAGGCCTTTTCTCGTAAAAAATTCTACAACTTTGCAAAGAAAGACCGTGTAGAGCTCGGAGAGGTCTGATTTTAATTAAAAATCTGCGGGTTACATTCATCATCATTAACAAAAAAAATCTGCGGGTTACATACATCATTAACAAAGGTTTTGGTTATTTTTTAGGAGTTTTCAAAAACTGTTTTTCTAAAAATCCAGTCTCTGAAGACCTATCAGCCAAAATGATTGTTATATTCGGAATCAGCGTAGTCGATAACCTGTAACCCACTAGGTTTCACCCCAAAAGCGATTTGACAGTTAGGGCGGTTCCCTCGTGAGTTATGCGTTTTCGGATTTTACGCGAAAATAGGCAAAAATGCAAGGGGGAAACAGCAGACTCCGGACTCCACCGAGTCGACGGACTCCGCTTGACTCCGAGACACTCCACGGGACTAAAAGCAAGAGGGAAACAGCAGACTCAGTCGGACCCTAGTCGTGTGGAGTCACGTGGAATCAGTTGAGGGCTCTATCGAATGAGGTCAGATGCCGTATACTAGACTCAAACACTCAGGTTATTGTCTTTCAACCATTGGGTTCAACCAATTCAACCATTGGATGTCTTTTTCAACAGACAAATGAAAGTAATCCCTCGTCGACTATACGATCGCGTGCTGCTCGACGAACTAGACATCAACATGAGTGAACGGAATAACATCATCCGCCTCATGTCTCTTACTCATAACCAACTCTGTTCCGAAGTTTTTCGTCCAATGATTCAGTATGCTTGGTATGCGAGTGGCTACACGGACAATCATCCAAGTCTTTTCAAAACCGCGCCGATGTGTGCTTTTCCTTTGACGCTACAATATGCGCCGTATCTCCATGTGATGCAGCTCCTTTTATCTGCTGCAGCTGGTGTAGCAAACCCTTATGTTTCAGTCATTTTTTCCTGAACTATCATTTTCATTGATTTTCGTTGGCGAAGAGTTTTCTGGCATACAACGACATCAGATGTGAAGCGAGGGATTCTGATTGCTCTATGGGCTGATAAACAGCAAGAAGAAGTGACTTTGATGAAGTATGATCTGATTCTAAACTCAGAACACATCGTACAAGCAATGGGCGAAACTGCAACAGACTTCCGCCTAAATACTCTACAGTTCTCCATAAACGATCATTTTTTCATTTCAGTCTCTTTTCGTATGCATCTTGAAAATTCGATATCTCGAAAACAAAGGCGCGAGGGGATAAATCCTCTTGAAGTTTTTCATACCTCATTGAGGTCTACCTATCGCCAAAAGATGGGACCTAAAGGGCTTAAACACCTAAATATGTTCCCTCGTCAGAGACAAATGATCTTTAGCGATAAGTGTATCATAAACTTTTGCTGCAAAACGGAAGTCACTGAATTTATAATAAGTGTTGTTGAGATATTCACTCCGAGACTTTGCATCATCTACAAAATTTGTATCAAAAATGTGGAAAAGTTCTCTGATAAATCAATGAGGTATAGATAGAGAATCAATTTTCCGTAAGAAAATTGTGTGACAAAAGTCCTGAACGTAATGTGATACATTTTGTATGTTCAACAACGTTTTATAGTACTGACAAAAGAGAAAATGTTAACGTTGAAAATCTACTATTTATAGTTTTAAGGTCAAATGTAATAAAAGCAAAACTTAGTTTACTTAGAAACAAAAGTATCAGTCACTTGAATGAAGTTCGTCGATGCAAAGTCTCGGAGACAATGTCTAAAAAGCACTTATCGATGGGAAATATTTGTCGTTGATGAGCACAAATGTTACTTTGAAGTATTATTCGTTAGAGCAAAACTGCTGACCACAACTGACGTTGGAACCTTTTTTCTAGAAAGCATGAGTAATGCAATGGGTCCCAAATAAATATGTAAAACCACACCTTCGAGACGCAATATATGAGAAAAAGCTCTTGGGACTCAGCTAATAATAATGATACACTATTAACATGGCGGTAAAACGAGCAATTTCGAATAAAATATAAATGATTTAACAGGATCAAGATGATTGAGTCACTTCCTCTAATATTTCAAAATCATTTTATCCTTGAATATTTTTTGTCATTTTAGAACATGACAAACAAATTAAAAGAAAATTTCTCTGCTCAAAAGTCATTTATGGGCAAAAATTCAAATCCATTTTCAAATTTGACAAATGTGGATGATGGTTTTCTCGAAGAAGAACGTAAAGCAATTGACGAAGCATTGATATTAGCCGAGCTGGAAAAAGAATTAACAGAAAATCGTCGACAAATGCGTACGTTATACGGTTATTCATTTGATGAATTTCAACCAGAAGATATTTTGGAAAATATTACATTGAAAAAAGAACATCTACTTGATGTTGAAACAAACGAAGATGAAGTAACAAAACATTTTTATTCAAATGAGAAGAAGAAAAGGAGTCAACCTACAGAAGAAACAATACCAGAAGAAACAGATTCACTTGATAATGATATATTGCAAGAGCAAGAAGTTGCTCACGAAAATGAGAATAACAATGAAATGTTAGATAATGATAGTGAAAATCAAAAAAAAAATCACTACTTACTAGCGAAAAATAATTCAATTACAAGCGAAGCAGACAGTTTAGAGGAGACTATTAACAATGAAAACGAACAGGTAAACTATCGATTGATTATCTTGTTACTGATATTATAATATTTGTATTTTACATGATAGAACAAATCTCAAAATAATCAGGATTACATTCCGACTGAATACTCAGAGAATAGTGTAATATCAACGGATTTGTATAATGATGAAAATAAACCACAGATAGACGTTTTAAAATCAACATCAAAACAACAGTTGAACGGAGACATACCAAAATTTTTCCCATTACACACATCAACTACTAATACTCGATTTGTCAAAAAATCACCCTTGGTATTAACAAAACCTAAAACGTCGAAATTAAAAATGGCAGCACAAAGAGATAGCATTATTTACGCAAAACCAAAACAACAATCAGATACAAAATCGAGACTAAATTTCAATGAAGTTGAACGAATATTAGCCGTTCATAAACGTGATACATCACCAAATAAAGTTCAAAATCGTCTCTTTATTCCTACAAGTGACATATTTCATACGGAAAATAATCATGTGCCACGACGTCCATCCAGTTTTGAAACAGAATATTTCCGAGGTTTTGTAAAAACCCTAGATAAAAAACAAGTTCCATCGGCTCCAACAACAACAGCTACAACACCTGTGAAAAAATCATTAACAAAATCCTATTCAAATATGTCAACATATACGGGAAAAATTACACCCATTGGAATGACAGCTATGGTACAAAGTACTCGTGACAAACGTTCACGATCATTATCAGAAAAACGACTAGCAGTAAAAATGGCCAAAGAAGTTGAACCATTACCAAATCAACCGTATCTATGGCATAAATTTTCAACAAAATATGCACCAACTCCAAAACAACAGAAAAAACATATTTCATGGTCACCAGTAAGAGAATACATTAATGATGGACGAACGCAGGATAATGATCAAATGGCAATAAACGCTAACGAAATACTAAATAATAAATTGAAAAAGTGAGTATTCAAAACAAATTGTTCAAGGAAAAAATTCTGATTGAGTCCTATAAGTAAATATTTTTTAACAAATAACGAGTACAAAATGATAGTTATGCAGCTTCGCATATGTTTTCACAGTTTTTGAAGTCTTGAATTTTTCTTTCATCTGCAGACAAACCGAAAATTTGGCTTCAATGAAAAGAAACAATCAGCGAATATCTCGTTCTGACACAACGTCTCACACAGTTAGTAATCTTCGACCAGCGTCATCAATATCATTTATTCCTGTCTTACGTCATCGTCCATTTCCATTATCTTCAACTACAGAATTTCGCCGTTCTGTACCACCAATCATGACAAAAACAGATTCCTTTCTTACACCAACCACGACAAAAACAGATTCCTTTCTTACACCAACAATTCATACAGCTGATCGTACAATTCTTGAACGAAAAGATTCACCTGTAAAGGAAATAAATGTTACAAATGAAATTTCTGTTAATAAACGTCAAAATGATTTTGAACGGTATTATTCAGAACTTGGTAGTGGCCGAGTCACTCATCCACAAACAAGTAGCCGTCTTTTACAAGCACAGCGATTTCCAAAGCAAAAATCAGATGACAACAGTTTCCAAGATAAATTACATAATATTAGTAAAAAGTTGCAAACAAAAATGGATACGATAAGAAATTATATGAAAAAAATTTATCCGATTATATTTACAAAAACGGGAATGAGAGAACAAGAGAGTACGCTTAAGCAATATGATAAATTGTTAGAAAAAATGAGAGTAACAGATGAACAATTACAATCGTTAACACTCCCTTGGAACAAAGAGAACAAAGAAAACAAAGGAACATTAACATCAATTGTTAATAGAACAAATGAGCTAGAGGTAAGACGTGACCGTTTCTTAATAATACCAGCTTCCTCCCGCTTTGTGCACCTTGCTAGCAAATGTTACATTAAGTTCACAATCTTTGTTATGGATTTTTGCCCAGAATACTCGGAAATGTTCTTTTATGCGTTTTCTGTAAGAAAATCTCGGTTTCTATCTGTACACGTTACGACCCCACGAAGAGTTAATCCGATCCAGCTCAAAAGTTTTTACCATAGGCATCTTGGACGATATCTTGAAATGAAAACCTTTTTCTCATTTCTGACTTTTCCTTCTAGAAATACAAAAAAATGGTAGAAACCCTATAGAAAACTTCGGTTTTTCATATAAAAAATCCTGTAAGTCAGAAGAAAAAACCAGAAGCGAAAAAGAAATTACTTTTCAATTTCTAAGGTATCGTTCAAGGTATTTGTAGTCAAACTTGAAACTCGAACGAAGTTTTCAGCAGATCGTATTGTACACCAATTAGAACCATCAATCTTTCTGAGCAGTATAGTGACTTATCCGCAGACAGAGCGGGAACCGGTTGAGAAGAGATAAACCGGTCCGGTCTGGCCGGTAAACGGGCCAGTTGGAATTACTCAACTCAAACCGGCGAAAACCAGTAAAATACTGGCGAAAACCTTGCGAAGTTTTTTGAAAATCGATTTTCAGAAAGAATTTCCCCCACAAATGAAGTAGTTTGCGAGCACACGTGAGAGAACCTTCACAATAACGAGTCTATAATATTTAACCTTAAAACAAGTGATGAAAATAATATCTGTCTTGAGCATCGTCTTATTTATTCTGACTGAAAAAGAGTGAAATTTTAGTTTTTTTGACGAAAAACCGGGTAAAAAGAGCAGATGTTTCAAAGCTTTCAGCCGGTAAAATACCGGTCCCTATCGGCCTGGTTGACTGTTTCAATCGTTCCTGTCCGGTACCGGTTTACCGGACCCGTTCCAGCTTTGTCCGCAGGTAACGTGATGACGCATTTTCAGCGTCAATGTTTATTTCTTCACAGTTGTGAGCAGTAGTAAGAGCAAATGCTGCATTATTTTATGCATTTCGATGGCTTCTGTAAGTGGTGTAAAAAGTTTTAAAGTACTACTTATCGTTCACATACTCCAACGTCCATACGACCGATAACGCGATGACCAGAAGCGGAAATTCTTTTTAGTGGACTCTGAAGAGCTATGATTTTCTCTAGGTGTAGTCGATATTGATGGGAACGAACAGAGAATTTTTAGCTGTAACGCAGAACTATTGAAATATTGAAATTTTGATCAACGATCTGATTATTCATCTACAGATCAAAGTTAAAGTAACACGATGATGCCCTTTTCATTGCCTCTAATAAGTTTTTCTGAAGTATACACTACAAAGAACAGTTATTTAAAGAGTAAATGTAGCTCATTCATACAAGTACTTTATGATATGTACTCTATGAATTAACGTGAAAGCTACAAGTGACTGAAAGTAAAAATCTACATGATGGAACATCACTAGTATGAAGACCTGTGACAGATGACTAAGCTGTTAATTATGAGATAGAATACTTTCTGTTTTACGAAACTACACTATGGAGCCTCGAAGACAACAAAATACACCATTTTAAAAATCGGTTATGGGCGGCGAATCTCCAAATTTGACTACAACAACGTTCTTTTTCATTTCTGACACGTTCTTCGTGGACCAACTATGTCTGTACGTTGTCATATGCGGCAAGATAGAAAAGCGCTGCACGATAGATGCCTAAGGTAAGAACATACCAACAGGAAGAGTAAGAAAACCTTGCGTCATAGGTTTATGTAAAACCAAAGAAAATGTCACACTCTGTGCTACAAACAAGCAAAGAAACAAAGTTCACGTTTCAACATGAAATACATAGAATATTCACTGCTCGATTATCACTCCGAAGGGAAAAAATGAATAACAAGATTAGATTACACCTATATTCAAAACATTTCAGCGGTTGCAGCGTGAACTAAAAAAGTTTTTAAGTCCGCCTAAGACAAAAGTCTTAGGACATGGCAGCGGAAATCAAAACAATTTTTCTCCGCCTTCAGCGACGGTGAACCGACGCAGCGCACATCTCACCATTTCGGCGCACATCATACAATTTCGGGAGACATCTCTTTGTGAAGAAAATATTTTGCCCTATAACACAACGTATAAGAAAATGGCAGAAACTTAACGAGCTCGTCGAACACTTAGCGTAGTCTAATTTTTGTAGCTTATATTTTTCTCTACATTCTCTACATTTTTTCTATATAACACCCATACACGAAAATCAAAAAAAAAATAAGAGTCACTCCGGTTCATTTTCAAGCAGAAAAACCGACGGTTTCCGACATAATAACCGGTCTCTCGAATAAAAACCGCGGGTGTGTTTTTGATATTATTTTTGCATCGTTGGGGTATAGCAGTGGTTCACGGCGGTTGTATCTTGGTGAAAACCGCAGAGAAGTACGTGTGTCCTAAATAGGCTAGGATTTTACGCCCTTTTCGATTTATCGGCAGATGAAGGCGGTTACTTTTTGTATAAAACTGCGGTTCACAAAGGTTGGATAAAAAGATACCCGCCTAGATCGGCGGTTATTTTAGAAAGGAAGCGATTCATCCACTCCCTTTTAAAACGTATCCGCGGTTCTCGCCGTTCATATTTTTGGATAGATCCGCCTATCAAGTTGGTTTTCTCTTCTAAAGCTTGCTTTAAGCTAAGGAGCACAAGAATACTCGAAACCGGCGGGTAAAACGTTCTCTCTATTTTGAGAGAGACCTGGCTGTGCTCAAATTTTTTTTTAAAAAGAAGCGTTACTGATTTGCTGAGAACGATTTTCTCTGATTCATTACTTCACAGAAATTATAAAAGTTCAAAATTGTATGTCAATTGCAAAAAACTTGTGTTCGTATATAACTAGTAGTGTTGTAAAACAAATAGATGAATGAGTTGTTGTCACCCAACCACACTGAGCCGCGGTTATTTCTCTAAGAAAATATTCGATACCCGCCGTTGCAGAAGTTGTTTCAATAGCAACCGCAGTGACCGTATATGCTTTATGGACAACCGCAGACAACGGCGGTCATGACCGGCGAGAACCGCTTGTGCTAATTTTACAAAAAAACGAACACGAAAAATTGATAATCTTCGAGAACCGCGGTTTGCCTGGGAATAACCGATTAATACCTCCGATTTACGGGTGCTTCACCGGCGAGAACCGACATGATATCCGCATGAACCGTGTATAAAATAAAACCACACGCAATTACCCGTGTGGTTTAGCGGGTACACATTCGTGTCTGGGCACAAAACTAAAAATTTTCTAAAAACAGCGAAGAGGGGTAGCGTTATCAATTAGATCGATTATATTATAAATATACTATATTTATTTTAAGAGATCAAAACAGCGAACAATATGGAGTTATTTTTCTCCATTAGTATTACAAACAATTTTCATTGTTTTATTTATATTCAATATTATATTTATTTATTATTTCAACGAATTAAACCTTCTATGGAAACAATTTCGAGCTGAACCAGTTGATGAAAACCATAATCCTCTACCATTAGAACAAAAAACGGCTACAGACACAAAAGTACAATAAACGTTACGTTCGTTATTAATTTATTGGATGCTTCTACACAGAACCAATTTTACTTTATTAAAATATTTTAAATTTTATAAAATAGAAATAGATGAGCATGTGGCTGGCATGCTGGTGCTTCTTCTGTTCTATTTAATAGATGAAAAAAGACAAATTATCTATCTAGTTCAAAATATTTTTCGTGCCTAAAAAATGTCAACTAAGTGTTAGTATTTAAAACTGTTTACGTTAAAAATATTAGCTGTATACAGGGTTGCCAGAACTGGTGACTCATAGGGAATGGAACAAAGAAATTGTCATGGTGATCCTTTGTTCCGTCCCCCATAAATCACCAGTACTGGCAACCCTGACTGTATACAATCTATTGTTTATATATATATATATATACAATTGTATACTACAAAGTTTTGAGGTGAAAATGATTTAGTTTTAAAAATGTATTTTCTATTATATTTAATATGATGTACGATCAGAAGTTAGTATAATAATATGATCATTTTGATAATGAGGTTTAAGCTGGTAGAGTTAGAACTTTATACACTTTAAATTTATCTGCCTTAATTTGTGTAGATATTAATAATCATTATATGACAAACGATATATTTTCTTTAATAGAATACTATAATTGTTGTAGTTTAATTCTATTCTATGTGCACTTCTGCTTCTCATAAGAAGTAACGTTTCTTTTCAAGACGAAGAGAGGTGAGTATTGACCCTTATGATGAACATTAACGCTAATATCTCTATTTTATTTTTATTGAAAGGACGGAAAGGTAGTTTAGACTTGGGAGTTTCTTACAATTTATATATAGAACAAGTTTATTTAATGAAGAAGAGCTTTTTGTCTATTTCTATATTTATTTCATTACTAACTTACTTAAGTTAAATATTTGGTAGTAGAAGTCCATTTACTTACAATTATAGTTAAAACCATTTATAAATAATAAATCTTAGGTTTTCTTTCTTACCAGACTTTTTTTAAAGGAAAAAAAAGATAAACTTGTGAAATAAAATTAACATTTCTTTATATATTTTTTGTATTCCGAAATCTTTGTATATTTTTCAACAAAATAAATACACTATAGAAATATTTACTTTTAAATGGACCTATGAAGATCTTATCAAACTTCTCTCGTATATTTAAGCAATAATATCGACAAGTTGTAGAGATAGGCCAATAGTAACATGTTTGTAGCTATGCTCTATGACAATACCATCTCGTACAAAACTAAAACATCTAAGTTTACATTATCCTCCTTGTTTGTACGATTAAATGAACTAATTCGCTTTAGAAATTGTTCCACTGCAGAACAATTCCAGAGTTTGTGCGTTTCATGATACATACATATGCCGATTCCACTTTTCCGTGGTGGAATATGGAATTTGACTAGGTAAGAGTGGAATTAACATAACGGGAATAGATTTCAAGTTATAGAAAGAAATTTTTTTTACAAAGGTCAGTGAAAGGTTGCATCGCCTGAAAGTCATTTTTTGCATCTTTTCTTCTCCTTCCCCCGCCCAGTTTTGTACTCTTTACCACACAGAAATTTCTGTTTCAGAACAGACAAACTATACCAACTGAATAACTTAAAATGGCTTCAGATAAATGTGACATTATCCTACCATGATGGTTTATCCCTTTACCCCCCTTGGTCACTGGAGTGACCATTTGTAGATCGATGGCAAAAAACTAAGAAAGCATGGAATTTAAAGACTTCGGGTAGATGTCTTGTAACGAATGACTTGGAAAAGTTCTATTTTGGGCTTTTCGTAAATTTGATATAGTTCGATCAAAATATGTCGTAGAGAGCTCGGGAACATCTCATTTTGTAGAGAATTGTTTGCTCTCTCATTCTACGTAGTTTGAACAAAACTTTATTCGCACGTTCAAGCTGCTGGAAAGCTAGGGTTTTGGTTTTCTAGAAAACTCTGTTATCAAGACTCTATTGATGATTTTTAGTTTTTCAGATCCTTGTTGGAAACAATTTTCTCTACTCAAGTCACTATCTGAATTTTTTAGCGTTTGTGGCTGTGGAAAAAAAATCGAAAATACACCCAATTGATCAATTTTGTAAGCAGCTACAGAGCTACATATTCAATGATACTACTACCCATTGCCAAATTTTCTACGAAAGCAGTCTCAACAAAACGCGAAATTTATATTTTTTAAAAAAACGGCGAAAAAGACGTTTTTTTTAAATCGTTTTTTGACAAAGAATATTCATCTGATGAACCTAAAATTACGTTCAAATACAACCAAAAATAAAACGAAGACCAACGCGCTTTTGTTCAGAAGCGTTTAAGGGCCCTCAGAAATGGTGATTTTCGGTCAAAACATCGGTTTTGAGATACGCACATAGAAAGATAGTCCGAAGTGTCTACTTCCAGAATCTGTATTGCTTTTGGTTACAAAACGGTTTTTCGGGGATTTTGAGCAAGTATTCTAAGAATCTCGAAAAATCGGGTCTTCAAATAATAGTTTTTTTCTGGATAGTAACGCAATTAAAATTTTTCTGAACACATAGCTTTGTAGAGCAAACGTTTCTGATCAAAATAAGACCTCGCACACCGGGTTACAGGCATTTTCTTAGAAGTCCTAAAATCGAGTATTTCATACAGCGTTTAATACTGCGTTTTTACTATATAACAGTTACACCTGCAGTGCGTCCCAAGATTTTTAATAGCGGTCTGTCGCAGAGAGTTCATTCTTTTTTTATTTCAAAGAGGAAAAGAAACTACATCGACTGACCGGCGTCGATTTTTGAATTAGATCTTAGTTATTTGTCAAACTGAGAATTTTTAGAAAATCCGGGAGGATTTTTCGGGTTTTGTAGATTGTTGGTTGCCTGGAAAACCAATAAAGACTTAATTGAAAAATCGGAGCCGGTCAGTCCATGTAGTTAGATGTCTAGTTTAAAGTAAAACAAACCCGAACTCTCCAGCTTGAAGTATATTAAAAAATCTTGGGACGCACTTCAGGGTCCTTTTTCGACCTTGATCTCTGGAAAACTCCTAAACCGTAAGACTTGGAGACAAAAAACTTTTTTCATTCCCGTAACTCATTAAGCCGAACATTTATGGAAAGTTTCGTCAAGGTCGGATGTACGGTGTCGGAGATAATTTCTGAGGGGGGTCCTTAAACGGGCTTTCTTCTCAAATAGTCAAGAAAACGGAAGGAAACGCCAGTATTTTTTCTTCGTTTCCAATCGTCTTTGACAAAATCACGTTTTACCCAGCTTTTTCTATAAAAAAACGCGTTTTTCACCGTTCTTTTAAAAAAAATAAAAATTTCAGGTTTTCTTGAGACTGCTCTCGTGGAAAATCTGGCAATGGGTAGTTAACATCAGCATTTTTGATACGTAGCATGATGACATCATCGAATATCTCTGTAACTATTTTGCCAATATAAATCCTCATTTGCAAATGAGTTCTTTTAATTTTTCGGCTTGAATTTTAAAATTTCATTCATTGAATTTCAACGGAGTTTACCTATTCTGAAGTGCATTTGTGTCACTATATGAGAAACATCTAGCACAGCCAACATACCAGTGCTACAAATTTAGTCTATAGTAAACCAAATTTAGACGCCAAATTGATTGGTCTACATTCAATAAAATAATTAAAAGCTAATATTAGTCTACGTACTCGTGAATTAACAATGTATCAAATCGATATAAATGGCATTCCAAGTTTGTTTGGATCAAATGGTTCTAACATAACACAACTTGAGAATAGATTTCGTATCTCTATTTGTTTGCGTGTATCATCAAAACTTGATGTTGCGATAGACAGCGCCCGAGGAAAAAAGTTCCTTTGAGAACATCTAACTATAAAAATATGTTATCGGGCAATATTGGCTTGTGTTAGCTAGCTATCCGCACCACTTTTATTGAGTTAGCTGGCAATATCGGGTATGATACCTAGCGACCAGATATGGTATCCGATATATCGGGTTGACGAAAAACACTGATCCGAAACACTGATTTAGTCGATATATTGATCAATTATTGTCCGATAGTAAATAACCCGATTTAAATTGCTAGCTAGTCAGCTATACCGCCCGACAGTCAATATTTTTTTCTGCTTGAGCGATGATAGTTATAATATAGAACAAGCATTCAATAATATAAAATTATCATATGCTCCTAGTATAAAACACTAAAAAGAAATATCTTTTATATTGTCATTCAACTGTGATTTTTTGAAATAAATAATTTATTTGGCAGGCTTTATCATTCATATTTGTGCATTTTTTCAGTATTCGTCTCGTTCTCGCTCTGTGACGGAAATCGGTTTACCACTGTCTTTGCGCTTTTGCTAAGATTTGATCTTAATTGAAATACCGAATGACCCGATTAAGATTATTCTGTGATCAACGATAATCAGAGTATACAAGGTTTCTAAAGCATAGGCTAAAACAGCACATACTTTCAAAAATAATAAATTCATTAAGCGTTCATTTTTTTCTTATGCTGCTTTAAAATGTACTAGAAACTAACTGAACGAGAAAAAAGTTATTTTTATTTGCGTAAATTTCTTTAAGCATTGTTAGAGTCGTTTACAATACTAAAGCACTTCAGGGCAATCGACAATGGCGAGCCTATGGCTGCTAACTATTCCGCTCGTAACAATATCGTTGACTCTTAACATTTATTTGTGGAATTATGAACTTTATAATATCGTAGATCATCTAACTATGGCAAATAATGATACTGGTTTTATATTTGTTTGGGTCGCTATACAAAATTTAGACCATGAAATATTATATAAAATTAAATAATTATTTATTAAATAATTTTTATAATTCTAAATTTTATTAAAATTCAATTGATCTCTCTTTTCGGGTAATTATTCATATCTGTATGAGGAAAGAGCTCAAAAGACTTAAGTTTGTAGACAGACTTAAATTTTTCATAAATTAGTAACTCTCAAATAATTGTAAAAGCATATGCTGAATGTAAATGACAAACAAGTAAGTTAGTACGTGCATTCTTCTGCAT